TGCTCCAGCCATGTTCGTGCCGAATCGGCCAGGAACAAGGGGAGGTTGCGGATAATGAAGTAATCACTATCCGCACCGCCGGCTTGACAAGCAAGCCGATAATCCTCGAGCCATAGGCCGAGGTTCATTTCCCTGGAGTATTTCAAGATGTTGGTCGGTGGTCGATACCACGGCAGGAAAGCCATGTTGAGGATGTGCCGGCCGAAAGCCTAGGCCCCCAGTAGATTAGGGCTTGGGCTCTGGTCCTAACCACTATCGTAGCATCCGCCATGATGAGGGTGGTAGCCATGGCTGGACTCCTCTCTCTTGTCCCCCTGTCCATGCCTACGGACGTCTAGGGTGTTACGTGTGTCATGGTTGGGGCCGAGACATACATGCACCCGGACCATGGTAAGCCCCTGCTGTCGTGCGGCACCTGGTGGATGGATACATCTCGGCCATGTTGTCCCAAAGACACGCGCTGACTGGCATCGAGCTCGCGTCACCAAGACAGCGAGCTTTCCGCCTGCTACACCACCGCGCGCTCGAGCAGCGTGCGAATCTCATGATGGGCCCAACGGTGTTCGAGTGTCGCAGGCTCCGAGAGCCCTCGGAGCAAGGCCGGCACGGCAGCTATGTTCTAGCTTGCCCGGGCGAAGTCCGAGAGGCCTCCACCATCCTTGATGATCCTCTGGTTTACGTCGTGGGCGATGGCACGTGCATGGCCATCGTCTCCGTGGAGTTCGATCTCACGCTCGAGCTCCACACGCTCCTGCTCCAGCTAGAGTCACGCATCCTCGATCTCCTTGTGCCGTGCCCTTAGCGGCTCCATCCGCATGCGAGGCAGGGCCCCTGCATCTCCCTCGACCTCATTATCGAGGTCATCCGCAGGGGTAGCCCCTCCCTCGTGGATGCTTTCGACACGTCCCTCGGGGGTGCCTGCCATGAAGCATTCTCACGAGGGGTGATGGCTTCCCTGCTGGAGTCAGAGTCAGAGATCATCTCTGAATCTCCCGCGAGAAGGTCATGGAAGGATTCCGTGACGTAGTCTGTCATACCCACGAATTCGTCATCTATGGGGGACGGGTGCATGTGCTGTGCTGTGAGGTGACCAATGGTCCTTGCGGTATTGTGCAGACCGAACAGGAACGCTATCGAGGTGCTTCGGGTGAGGTATTCCGGGGAGAGCGGTTCTCCACCGGTAAGCTACGTCATGACATTGGTGAACGAGAAGGTGAGTTAGCGTAGGTCCTTCCGGGATGATCGAGGTCCTTGGCGCTCTAGCCTCCCGTAATTGAGGCCGAGGAGCTAGTCGCTCCTGGGGGCACGAGCCTCCGGGGCGTGCAACTATAGCTCTTCGAGGGCCTCCAGGGTGGTGGAGCGAAGAAGTTGGACGAGGGCGGTGAAGGGACCGTGACACCTAAGAGGGTGGTGAATTAGGCAACTTAAAATTCTACTTCTAAATTATGGCCTCTTTTTCTACCCTTAGCAAAACCTATGCAAAAGATAAACTATCTAAATGTGCAACTACGGTTTTGCTAGTGTCTTGCTATCTCTACCGTAAAAGGAGTAATACAATCAATGTAAATACGGAAGCTAAAGAGCAAGATAGAGATATGCAAACTCCCGTCGACGACTCCGGTATTTTTACCGAGGTATCGAGAAGCGCGCAAGCTTCTCTCTAGTCCTCGTTGGAGCCTCTCGCAAGGAATCCCTCGCAAGGGCCAAGCTCTCGGTCGGGTAACTCCGTGGATAGCCTCGGGCCTTCCCCACGTGTAAGTGGGTCTCCGACGTGCCTTCCAGCAAGCCTCTCCCGGATGCTCCCCGCCGTCTTCACTATCAAGCTTCCGGCCGAAACGCCGCGGGCCTTGTTCCCTCCGATACACGGTGGCGGCCACACCACAAACGTGGTTGGTGTGATCTCGCAAGACTACAAGCCCCTCCGATGTACAACAATAGTGCTCGCAAGCACCGAGTGGTAAGAGGTATGCAAACCTCACTAAACACTAGACCTAAACCTAGAGCAAGCGCTAGAGCGGTGGTCTAATCAACCTAAGCACTTCGCAAAGCACCTACGCTAATCACCTAATGAATCACTAAGCACTATGCAAGTGGAGATCACTAAAATGGTGTATCAACACCCTTGGTATGTTTCCTCAGCTCCACTTACTTCATTTGGCCAGTTGGGGTTGTATTTATAAGCCCCACTGAGAAAGTAGCCGTTGGGGATGAAATCCCGCTTTTCTCCTACTGACCGGACGCTGAAGTCATCCTGACCGGACGTGTCCGGTTGTCCCGACCGTTGGAGCCACGAACAACTGATCGGATGCTGCCAGCGTCCGGTCACTTGCCACCGGACGCGTCCGGTCGCAGTTTTGCTGCTCTGGAACCTCTCTATACTCGACCGAACTATGTTGTCCTGCGTCCGGTTGATCTGCCGCCAGCGTCCAGTCCAGCGTCCGGTCGCGCCTGTTGCCGAGCCTCTTGATCGGAGCGTCCGGTCACTTTCTTCCACCGTCCGGTCACTTCTGTGAGCTCGTTTCTTCATGATCTTGCGTACGGCTTGGTTCCTATCTTCATGCTTGGACTTTGCTTGATATCTTGTGTCTTCTCTTGTGCTCCTAGGGTCTTGCTTATGGTGTTGATCATCGGATCATCACGTCGCCTTTATCCAAGTCACGTCTTGCATCCTATTGAACTACAAAACAATCACTTGCAAGTTCATTAGTCCAATTTGGTTGTGTTGGTCATCAAACACCAAAATCCAAAGTAAATGGGCCAATGGTCCATTTTTCTTACAGGAGCCCACGCCAGCTCTCCTTCCGCGGTGACGAAGAAATCCAGGCTCCCAAAGCGCACATGCGCGCCCAGGACCCAGCTGACGTCGTGGCTAGCCATCCATGGCTAGTTGTGGACGACGAGACGCGCAAAAGGCCCCTACCTGGTGCGCCAACTGTCAGTGTTTCAAATCATCGACTAGTAAATTTGTGATTTGCGTGTCTGGCCCGGATGGTGTGCTCGGAGGACATAAGAATTTATACTAGTTCGGGCGGAATGTCCCTACGTCCAGTCTGCCGCTGCTCGTGTTACCAACACTAGTTTGTAGTAGGGGTTACAAATGAGCGAGAGTGGGAGCAGGTCCCAAGTCTCTGGTGAAAAGGTCGAACAGAGTTGAGTCTCGTTAAGCCCTCCGTGGAGCGTCCTGCTTCCCCTTTTGTAGATGAAGGGGAAGACGTAGGTTACACGAGAGAAAGAGAGAGAGAGAGAGAGAGAAAAGCCAGGAGGAAGAAGGCCTCCGGGGTCACGGCGCCCTTCATCTCCTTTACGTGGGTCCCGCTGGTCCTGTAGAAGATGACGAGGACGGCTCCATGTCGTGACCCTGTTCATCACTGGCGCTATACGTGGGCGTCGTCAGCCGGTCGTGGCGCTCCATTCCGTCCCGCGCGGGCAGCATGGTTAGCAGATACCCCCATTGGAAGTCCTACAAGGATTAGATAGCATAGCACCGGCACGCCCGACACTATTGGCGATGTGAGTCCTCAGGTATGGCCCATCGTGGCTGCGGGTCACGTCAAGACGCGCCTACTCCCTTTCTGATGTCAGAAGTTTGACCCTGGGTCGTACTCTTAGACCCGTAGTGGTTGGGGGCGGTACGGACCCCCATTGGGCGAGGCGGAATCCCCCTTCGAGGGGTCTGGCGAGGCGAAGTCCGCGCCCGAGGGGTCGGGCGAGACGGAGCCTGCACCCTCGGGGTCAGGCGTGATAAAGCCCGCGCCCTCAGGGTCGAGCGAGACGGAGCCCGCGCCCTCGGGGTCAGACATGACGGCGCCCGCGCTCGAGGGGTTTGGCGAGACGGGGCCCGCGCCCTTGGGGTCAGGCGTGACGGAGCCCGCGCCCGAGGGGTCGGGCGAGACCAAAATACGCTCTTGACCATCCGTGCGAGTTAGCGTTCGTGGCCATCAGCTTCCTTCTTTCAGGTATCCCTAATACTGATACCCGAGAAGTAGTATGTGTTGGGGGGAGAGGGGGATTTGAGGGCCAACAAATTTTAGTGACCTAGTAGGCTGTCTGTTGAAAGCTCTTTTTTTCTCTCTACTACTCAAAAAGTAAGTAGAGGACCTGTTTAAGTAGTCTCATGGAGATGCTCTAACCAAACAAAGATCTTACATTTTTTGGGCGCTAAATAAGACCAAGTCTTGTGCTATTGGGAAAAGTATCTCCCCAAAAGATAGTATGAAATATTGTTCTAAATGTAATTTTTTTTTGTTTGCCTAAATCTCATCTACCTTGTATCTTCAAGATCTATTTGTTGAATACTATCCAAATGCTTTAGTAAATGTAGCAATTATGTTCTGCTCGTTGTGAGGTTAAAGGTCTTGTACAAATTTGCCAACTTGTTTAGACTAGTCTCAATAGGGATTTCATTTTCCAGTTTCTAATACTGTCATATGTTAAAAACAATGTAGACAAGGTTTATCCTCATAAAACTTATTTTGTTCCATGAGCTTTCATCATCTCTTTTTTTTTAATAACAGGAGGGGCGAGGAGCCCCTACTGGAGAGATTTATTGAAAGCCAAGGTCCAAAACAAGAAAAATACAAGCCAGATCTAAAGGGACTAGCAGAAGCAACAGGAATGAGCTGGGTAGAGTACAACTAAACTTTCACTAAAACTTGCCTTAGTAGCTAGTTCATCGCTGGACTGTCGAGGTGCAACAAGTTTGCTTGCAATTGTTAATTGTACATTTTCAAGAGTAAATGGTAGATACCTTTTGAAAAAATTTAAAAGTTTAGGTTAATATGCCAATGCTGGAGAAGGGTGAAAATCATACTAGTAACTGAAAAGAGAGGTGCATGTAACATTCCAGCTCTACCAGTAACGTTTTATGTTTACAAAATCTTGTGTCGAAGGATGAAGTCTAGATGCTACTCAAAAGTCAAAACTATACAGGCATTCGTGTTGATCTTACACCCGAGATGTACGTGCGCATCGCTGCGGACACGCTTGAACGATCCGGCCGATCAGATCATCTCGTCGGCTTTGGACGCCATGGGGTTGGACGTCATTGGGTACGAATGGTTTCCGTGCACCGACTGCTCGTACGTCTCGCCATCTCCCCACACCGCGTACGCGTCCTCCCCGTGGATGGCGTCGTCGCCGGCGGCCAGCTGCTCCTCGCTGAGCCGTAGCGGCACGAGCAGCCCGACGACGAGGCACACCGCACTCGTCACGGCGACGTTGAGCGCCACGACGAAGGCGATCCCGGCCAGCTGCACGCCCACCTGCCGGAGCCCCGCGGCGGCGCGGCCGTCCTTGAGGGCGTACACGAGGCCCACGTACCGGGGGTCGTCGCCGAAGAAGAGGCGGCTGAGACGCGGCTCCGCGAGGACCCCCGTCAGGATGCCGCCGAGGCTGCCCGCCACGCCGTGCGTGTGGAGCACGGCGAGCGTGTCGTCGACGCGCTTCAGGAACCGGCTCCGCTTGTGCAGCACCATCATGGTGCACCACGGCACGCTCCCGGAGACGACGCCCATGAGCATCGCGGCCCAGCCCTGCACCAGCCCCGCGGCCGGGGTGATGCACACCAGGCCGGTGATCATGCCCTGGACGGCGCCGATGACGGAGGGACGCCCGAACACGAAGCAGTCGAGGCAGAGCCAGACCAGGAGGCTGGTGGCCGTGCAGAAGTGCGTGTTCACGACGGCGAGCGACGCGTCGATGTTGGCGGCGTACGGCGCGCCGCCGTTGAAACCCGTCCACCCCATCCACAGCAGACCCGCGCCGGCGAGCGTCAGGAGGATGTTGTTCGGCGGGAACGACTCCCTGTCCTTGGCCGTCCTCGGACCGACCTGCCGATCGATCGATTAGCTTGTGTAAATCGGAACATATGCAGTCATGCATGGAAGGCAGACAGTTACCCAGTAGGCGGCGGTGAAGCCGGCGATGCCGGAGGAAAGGTGGATGACGTATCCACCGGCGAAGTCCATGACACCGGCCTTGAAAAGGAACCCATTGGAGCTCCAGAGGCTGAACGCCCCGATGGTGTACGAGAAGGTGAGCCAGAGCGGCACGAAGAGCATCCACGCCCGGAAGTTGACGCGGCCAAGAAGCGAGCCGGCGACGAGGATGAGCGTGATGGCGGCGAAGACGAACTGGAAGAAGAGGAGCGTCGCGGCCGGGTAGGCGCCGGCGAAGCCCTGCTGGGTGAGGAAGTCCTGGCCGAGCGCGGCGAGGTCGGGGCGACCGACGAAGGGGAGGAGGCGGTCGCCGAATGACATGCGGAAGGCCCAGAGGCACCAGCAGACGAAGGTGGCGGCGAAGGCGTAGAGCGCCATGAAGGCCGAGTTGACGGCCCACTTCTTCTTGACGATGCTGCCGTAGAGGATGACCAGCCCCGGCACGCTCTGCAGCCCCACCAGCGTCGCCGCCGCCAGCTGCCATGCGTTGTCGCCCTTGTCAAGCCACTCCGGCGCCGCCTCCGTTGCCATCTCGGAGGCCGGGTGACCGAGACAACGCAGTCGAGCAAGTGTATAGTGCTCGCGCCGCGAGTCGCGTCCACTGGTGAGAAGGAGAAATCAAACAGACGCCAAGTGGAAAGGGTAGAGAGCTATATAGGAATGGAGGGGCGGAAAGGTCTGCGGGGAAGGAGCGGAAGATGTGCAGATTTCTTCAGATACTTTGAACGATGAGATTCTGCTGTGTGGCTGGCTGGATGCTGAACCTGTCCGCGTTTTTGGGTGGTTTTCACTGCTGCAGTGACACCTATTCACCACAATTAGCGCATGATCTCTTGTTACGGCCGGGAATTTTGCATCCGGACTGAGTGTCTTATATAACGATGTGACATTGAAATCGTATGAACTATGCTTGAAGCAGTCTTACTCTGAAAAGGCTAAGCCTGTCTGAAGGCTATAACGGTGATTAGCTTCATCCTAACTCACAAGGCTGTCCTGCATGCAAATGGCGGAGTTTCTTACGAAGATTTAGCATATATGAATTTGTTTTTGTTCCTCCAATTGTACGACAAGAGAATGCCAGTTTGGCTTCATGGAAGCCATCCAATTCGTCGAGTATACTCACTTGGATTTAGTCAACACCATATGTACGTGCCATATGTAGACAACATATAAACTTCCATTGCAAAAGTTACCATCGCCGAACTTAAGACAGCATTCTCTATTTACAGCCGGAGAGTTCGATAGGGATCTCATGTCAATGCATACTTCAAACTTATGTCATGCCAAAAAAACAAACAGAGAACACCAATTCCATTAGTTGAGTTTCAAATTTCTCAGTTGGAGCAACAGTTTTGGGAGAACTGGAGAAGCATATAGGCATCAATAACGATCAAGAATCCACACAGATTGAGTCAATAGAATGCCACTATCACCTATAATCAATTTAACATCAACACTAAAAGAATGGGGTTCTAAAATACCAAAAAACTGAACTCATCTATATACCAAACCTCAAAAGAATCACCGAATAGCCTGCACCCAAGGAAAAACGGACAAGATAACAGTGAAACGCACAGTTACTTTCCACACTGTCCACAATCAAAGGGAAATGCTTGCACAGGGACTTCCAATAGATTTTCCTCAGGAAGAAGATCTTCCGTTACCAGCACAGCACGCTCAAGCAACAACAGCAGGGCCCTGTTTTTCAGGGAAAAAAAACAAAGTATGTTTCAGAAGTCTGCAAAGCATATAAAACTGCAACTCAGTAAGCTTCACAAATGGAGCTCCCTAGTGCCTAGTTCAAAATATTTCCAGAGGGATGCATATCAATTGGCCTAGGAAAGGCTATGAAAGAAGCAATTTGTTCCTAGAGTTATATGGCTTCTTCCTTTATCTGTGGTTATGCACCATGATTTTAGCCAAAGGCGCAAATTGCAACCTTACAATTTGCAAATCTGTCTCTTATGACATAAATGTCCATGTCGCAGCATGGATATCCAAAACTTCATGGTCAAACTGACAAACTGTTCTAGTAAGCACTTATTTCCACTGACATTATTGTTTGTTCTCAATGTCACAATTTTATTTATAATAACTTATTAAGAGCCACTGACCTGGCAATGTTTTCATGACTATGATCAAGAATCAGGACCAGGTCTACTATATACATGCAAATATGCTGTTCAGCTGGTCATATTAAGTAAAAATATCCACTAATGGAAAAGATTGTGTTATATCAGCCATGAGTGCAGAAAAGGAAAACGATGATGCTTAGCTACCAAAGTTGCATACACTCTGCAATCTGAAGCTATTCGGCATGCTTTCTATAATAATATATTTATTACTGAGTAGCAAGCAACAGTCTCAAATTATTAGTTATCACTTACTTTGGTTGTTATATTTGACACAACTAATTGGAACTTTTCTCTGGTTCTTGAGCCAGCAACATGACCAGCCTTGGCGACCTTGCTAAAAGCACCATTCAGCCAGCTTGTTCCAGCAGACACATACCTGCAAGTTGGAGAAAATACTAGAAGAAATTAGCAATACACTAAAGAAACCCACGGACATAAAGGTTTTAGGTCCTCAAATACGGCGAAGTGTGCAAGTATTCATTAAGGTACAACAGATCCGTTATTAAATTCTAAGCCATATACTTAAATGTATATTGTTTAAGCATTAACAAAAGCGTGAATAAGAAGAGACCTGTTGGTTTTCACAGCAGAGCCTGTATCATTTAGCTTGCGCTCTGCAGCCAGCAAAGCAGCCATTGTTTTATCAGAAACATGCAATCTTTGGTCTACTGATTTCACCTTTTCATTGACAACTGATATCCCACTGTTTATCTTCTCCGAAAGGCCAACACGCTTATCAAAGGAATTGATCCTCGCTGATGCATTAGCCCTCAACTGATGCTTCTCATCAAATGCTTTAGCCTTGTTCACAGCATCTTGTCTCATTGCTGAACCCTTTGCAATCACATTTGTCATGACATCATGGGCCTTGCTCACATAGACACGGCTATTGGGACTGGTATTGGCCTATACAGCAGGACAAGAGAACTTATCAATAATGACAACTGCCAGCGTAATTCAATCCGTATGGAATAATATGAGATAATACACTAATGCACTTTGTATTTTTTTAGGTTCACAATTTTATTCCTAATAACCCTGTTAATCAATAACTGGCTATGTTACACGGATACTTCACTGAAGCCGCGTATCGCGTATCCGATACGTATCGGATACGGAAACGTGTCCGATACGCCTTGGATACGTATCCTCCGAGTATCCGATTTTGTATTATTTTCGTTGAAATCGGATACTCCACCGGACACGTATCCTGCGTCCCGATACGGCCCAGCCCAGGAGAAGCCCACGGAGACAACCTCAGTCCCGCACGCCCTCAGTCCCGCACGCCGCACGCCCGCAGTCGCAGTCCCGCACGGACACAACCTCACGGCTGCGCCCGCGCGTCGCACCGCAATCCCGCTCGCCGGCCGCCAGCCACCGGCGACGAGCCTCCGCCTCCGCCTCCAGGCGCCACCAGCCTCACCGCTTCCTCCGGCGAAAACCGTTCCTCTCCGGCGCGCTACCTCCGTTCCGGGTGAGTCTAGGCGCATCGCCTCCCCACGGCCGGATCCTTGTCGGCCCGGGTCTGCGCCGTCCACAGCAGTACATCACCGCTCCTCCCCTCCCCTTGCTTCTGCATCGGTCCGTCCTCTCCTCACCTCTTCTTCCTCTCTCCGCTAGCCGCACGGATCCTCTCCATCGGTCCGTCCTCACCTCTTCTTCCTCTCTCTCTGCAGGTCTGCGAGGTAGTGCCGGCGACGAGGCCTCTCCAATCCCTCCGGTGAGCTCCCCTTCCAAAGTGGTGAGGTAAGCCTGCCCCCGTTCCTTACCTCTCCTGTAGACTCCAGACTCTGAACCAGTGAACCATGTCGGTGTTGTCTCTAGTATTGATGAAGTGCAGTTCGTATTGATGAAGTGCCGTTCTTGTTGCTTTGCTTGTATGCAGTATGAACTGCAAGTGCCGTTATCAGTTATCACTTATCAATTTTAGAACTTGCTGGCTGCTGCTGCATGAACTTGCTGGCTGCTGCATCAATTTCAGAGTTCAGAGTTCAGACAATAGGAACTTGCTGGCTGCTGCTGCATGAACTGCAAGGTGATGTACTGAACTACTACTGATTAGTGATTACTGAATACTTAAGTAGTCAAGTTTTAGTAATAAATTGATTGATAGTTGGTTACTTGGTTTTTCTGTGCAAATTCTGGACTTGGAGTCTTGGAGAACTCGAGAATGGACAATTGAAGAATGGAGATTTGCTTTGGCTGGTAATTGCTATTGCAAGGTAATTTACTACTTTCACTCTTTCGCAATTTTAATATGCGCTATTATCTATATTTATTAAAAAACAGTAAAACGTATCCGCGTATCGGGTTTCTTAGAAAATTGCCGTATCCGCGTATCCGTATCCTTCCGATACCGATACGCGTATCCGTATCCGTGCAACTTAGATAGCTGGTAATTTTTTTACCAGCAGTGGTGGGTAACTTGCAAACATCATAAAACATCCCAAATAGTATACATGCAGATAGGCTCCAGTTTACTTATTTAGGCCCTGTTTAGATTCCACCCAAAATCCAAAAAAAATCAAGATTCCCCGTCACATCAAATCTTACGGCACATGCATGGAGCATTAAATGTAGGTAAAAAGAATAACTAATTGCACAGTTTACCCGTAATTGGCGAGACGAATCTTTTAAGCCTAAATAGTCCATAATTGGACAATTTTTGCCAAATACAAACGAAAGTGCTACAGTAGCCAAAAGCCAAAAAAATTCGCATCTAAACGGGGCCTTATTTTGCCATGGGGGAGGGGTTTCAGATATGCACTCAGTATTCAGTTAAAAAATTACAAGATGTTGCGCTCCCTACAACCACCTTTTATAAGAGACGTTTTTGCTAACATTTTCTCACTATGCCCCTGCCCCCTAGTTGATGGGAGGCTCATGATCTAACCGAAGTAAAAAAAATGCAATGGGAAATACCTCTGAGGAGTACTCCAATTCTGCATTAGGAGCTGAACTCGTACTTGTCACCTCATGGACCATAAGTTGCTGCATGATTTTCAAAATGGCTATCTCAATTAAAAATAAGGACCGATTGCATTTATGTAAAATAATTAGCTTACTAGTGTACCTGTTCAGTAACAGGGATGTAGATGTAATCTTCAGCAGGGGTTATGTTCACAATTTGGTCCACAATTGTTGCTCCCTGGAAAAACAATGGTAGCACGAAATGAAAAAAAAATGTAATCAGTGCTTATTTGTTTGACAACACTGCAGATCCATCAAGCTATCATGTTGCGATGCAAAACAGAGAGAAGAAGACACTGTGATCTATTTCACTTAGAACACATACAAACAGGAAGAACTTTTCTCCACTGCAGCAAAGGCTATTTCAAATTTGAATTGTAATTTGTAGTTGATGCACAGATGCAGACTTGTATGCATGCTGGCAAATATAGAAATATCTTGCATGCTTATATCTTACAAGGATGACAGATTCACAAAGTCAAAGAATCTCAAGCAAAGTAAACCTATAATAACCTATTTTGTTTCTCACATTCTGTGTCAAATTAAGCAGGCTTTAAAATAATAAATATCTTTGTTCTCTTTGCTTATTCACCAATGTTCAATGGCCTTCCAATGAATTTACTAACGACCTAAGGATCCCCAACCATCATTTGATTGCCAGTGCATGAAGCACATGGCATATGGTCAAAGAAATTTGAACAACTGTTTTTTTATAGTAAAAAAGACCATTCAAGAATTCAGCATGTGCAAGGATCCTCGGATTCTGTGACAGAACTCCATTCAAAACAAGGCCAGATTGAATAACCTATTAATATGTATGGATCTTTTTTTTTCTATTTCTTTCCGGTTGATATATACACCAGAACAGGCCATGCATACTTATATGCGATTCACCACGTAAAACAAAACACCTGGGTTTTTCTCTCCATCCCTAGCTCCTATGATTGATGCAACCGACACAAATTTTGGCTTATTGTCGCACCTGCATACCTACTTTACATAATGGCAGTCGCCCACACAAAACATTCAGAATATAGAACTAGAAAACCAGCCGCGGCTTTGCCGCGCCCTTCTTGGAGTAGAATACGAATTCTACAAACACCAGAACGAAATAAACATAAAAGAATCCCCTCAACATGTGAGACAAATTGATGCGCAAAGCCATACCGACAGGAGAACTGCAATCTCGAGAGCCTTGGGATCTTTGAATGTGACGTAGGCCGTCCTCCCGGACGCCACTGTATCACTGCAACCACCAACCAGAGGCCAAAATCACAATGCAGTTCAAAATACAAGCCAAAAAGGAAAAAAAAAACGCGACTAAAACATCAAGAAAAAAAAACAATAGGCAGAAAAATAGAGAAAGAAATCAAGAGGCGCTTACAATCTGATGTCGACGTGCTCGATTTCGCCGGAAAAGGAGAAGAACTCGCGCACCTCCCGCTCCGTCGCCAGATCTGAGATGTTCCGCACCCGCACCGTCCTCACCACCCTCTTCCCCATCTCCTGCTGGCGAAAGCAACCGCGGAAAACCGTCAGAATACCGACACGACCCTCTCCAACCCCCCAGCGGAAGCCGCCTACGCCACCTAACAAGAGAACCAATAAAACGCTCACCTCCATGGCGCGACGCCGAGAAGGAACTCAGAAGAAGCGGTCAAATGAACCAGCGCCGATTTCGGGCTGCGCGAGAGAACCCGCAGCTGGAGCTGGGGGAAGAGGAAGACGCTGTGGCTGGGCAAGGCAGGACTCCTTGCCTCCTTGGTGCTCGAGTGATTGGCAATGGCGTGGTCCGGTTGGTTGCTCGTCGCCGCCGCGGGTTGCTGCCGCTACTTTTCTTGAGCTGTTCGCTGCCTCGGTGGCCGAGGAAAATTATAACGAAAACGAACCAGCTTCTCCTTCCAAATCAGCCACGTAAATTCCCCTTCCACCCTCAGCACAAGACATGCCAAGCGGATCCCGTGAAGAGGGTACAGGGGCAGAAGAGTAATTTCGTGGCCTGGTCTTATTACTTGGGTGACATGCTGGCTGCTGAGTTTGCTTGGCGACGGCGCCATCTCTCCTGACCTGTAAAACCATTTTTTTATTCCGAAAGAATTCATTATTGACATTAACTGTGCTAAGTTAATGACTCTGCCGCGACTGGTCCAGCCAATCAGTGGGTGAAAGTGGGCCCATCTCATTGTGGGTCACATGGTGCCGGGCTGGTCTCACGCGCGCGTGGGTCTGTTGATTTGATTTGGGTGCCGCGTCACGGACGACGGTGATTAGGCGTAGGCAGTGATGGTTCGGCCCGCTGGGCCGGCTCGGTCGGGCTCATGCGGTGCACCTGTCGCTTTCTTGCTCCCCACAGGCCACCACGGAATGGTGCCAAAAGATTTGCACATTTATGCATGATGCATGTGGACGTGGAGTGGACCGTGGCTAACTGTAGTGGTCGCAACTTCAAAGCTTCTATTCTTTTTTTATTTTTGTTTAGCGTCCCAAGCTTCTATTCTACTTCTACCGAGTATAGCAGTATTTACCAGGAGTTTTTTACCGCGCAGTATTTACTCCTTGCCACGCTACTCCGCACTGCTACAGAAGTTAACTGTAGGGGCGGCTCTAGAGCCTCTGTAGAGGCGGCTGCGCGAGCTGCCCTTCGCAGGGTGTTTCTACAGAGGGTGCCTCTGTAGGGACGGTTTCCTGACCGTCCCTACAGTGTCCTCTGTAAGAGCGGCTGGTGTTTTCAGCCGTCCCTACAGTGCCCTCTGTAGGGGTGGCTGGTAATATCAGCCGCCCCTGTAGTGGACTTCTGTAAGGGCGGCTGTATCACCAGCCGCCCCTGCTGTGTGTATTTGTAAGGGCGGTTCAATCAAGAACCGACCCTACAATGGATTTTTCAGCAAAAAAATAAATAATTCAAATTCAAATCTAACCACATATATATATAATTCAAATTCGAATCTGACCGCCACAAATATACATATATACATCCACAAACATAAGACCATTATTTCGAACATCATCACAAGTCATAATTCACGAAAGTCCATCATTCCAACTTAGTCCATTATGAAGTCCATCATTATAACATAGTCCATTAAGAAATCCACATGTCCACATGCAAAACAAAGTCCAAACCGTTTCAAAGTCTGATCCAAACCATACCACAAGTCCACATTGTCATCAACGGCCTAGGGCTAGCCTATCAGTCTCACGAATGTGTTGGTATAGAGGATTACTACCTAAGTCGGAAAGAAGATGATGGTAAGTGCCTTTATGGTACACAATCTGGTCTATTATGAAATTGCAAAGGTCGTCGACCATCTCTAAGAGCTCGTCATCCTTGTATGGGTTCGTTCTCGTGTCTTTATCTTTCTCCAACTACAAGAGAACAAGTTTACTATATCACAACATATGCGAACTTTTCATACTACGAGCGAAGAGGTTCAAACTTACCAAATTGGGGTTTCTGTTGTAGCCACCGATGGTACTCATCATAATACATGTGTAGTATCCACAATGTAGACTCCCAGGCTTCTGCTTGGGGCACTGTGTGTTTTGCATATGGAGATGTTAAGTAATACTATTGACAGACACGTAATATATAGAGTACCAAAGTAAATGACACTTACCGCACATAGAGTTTTGACATATAACTTTTCCTTCCTATTTGGATGATGCCTCCCCTTATGTTCCTAGACATAGTGCATGAATGCCATGTTCCAATGGTTTTAGCAAATGCAACTTGTTAGTATCCCACATTGAACCTTACAAGTATGTATACAAACATAGTAGCTAAAATAAGGATTGTCGATATGTATACGTCTTGACAATCGCTATGAAGTCTTTGTATGTCTCGACTAGGAAATCCGCTGAATCAAAGACCCATGCCATGCTATGTGAGAGCTAGACGGCTATGCAAATCCAGTGATCGCTGCATGAATTTAGTCATAGAAGGAACATATAAGCTCTTTTACATCGAACAAAGTATATTAAACAAAGCTAAGTATACAGTCGAACTTACTTGAAGTGGTATGGTATCCATATATTATCGTGTTGTTGGAGATTTTTAAAACATAGGGCAATGTATGCCGCAACCTTGAGGGACTCTTCCAGTATTTTCTTGTTCCTGATGTCCTCTTTCTCCTTAAGTGTCTTTCCACCTCCTAGTTCTTTGCAATCTAGTTCCCACTCTTTAGGGTAATTAAAATTTGTTGATGCTATAGGTGAAGGGTCTATATACCCGTGTTTCAGAGCTAGCCTCTTTCTCACAAAGTCCGCTTGCATTCTACAAATCACAGCGCGGGTTAGTTACAACAAAATCAAAAGATTATATTCATATCATATCGAGAGGGCAAGGACTTATAGGCACCACATGCAAATTAGATTCATTTCCATTCGTCCGAGGTGGAAGCATGCCTAGATATCCTTAAACTCAACGGCAATTTGCCCACCTAGAGCTCCAAATGTGCCGGCAGGGATCCATGCTTGTAAGATTTCTAGTTCTGTTATCTGAGCACGCAAGTACCAATCGTGGAACTTTCTCATTCCACGTGGCAAGCACTGTATGACTCGGTTTGGTAGGAAGTTCTTGCCTTTTTCATATTTATCCGGGCAATCATTTGACCATTTGAGGTTCTCAACAGCTGGATACTTATTAAACCCTTTGTGCAGTTTGCTAGTGGTGCCCTCCTCAGAAGCTGGTGCTCTAAATTCTTTTACTTGGTTCAAAGGTTTGAACTGGTCATGGGCCATCCACTTGTGCACCGACAAGACGTCATTAATGCCCACATACGATGGCCTTATCTTGATTGGGATTTTGTTTCGAGCTTCCCATTCGGGCACGTCCTTGTCAACTTGTTCATCACCTGCTCCAGGGGACACTTGTTCTTCATGTATCGGCTGTTCACAAGGCAATTGCTATTCATGAGACACTTGTTGTTCATATATCGGCTGCGCTTGTTGAGAAGGATGTTGCATCTCATCATGCCTTTGTTCGGTATGAGCTGGAGAAGGACGTGGCATGTCATCATGCCCATGCTCGGTACGAGGTGGAGAAGGACGTGGCATGTCATTATGCCCTTGCTCGATACGAGGTGGAGAAGTCTCTAGCGTGTGGTGGTCATGGTCATGGGCTGGTGAGTATACCTCCCTGTCCTCGATGGGTCGCTCCAGAGGATGAACTTCAGTCAGAGTTGGCGAAGACTCGATCAATACAATATCTCATCTGTGCCAGAGGATGAACTGGTTCATGACGTCTCTGAGTAACATGAGCCCCTCGAGAGTAAGGTGTTCTATCTTCCAAGTCATGAACTCAGGCTTCACGTTATGCATCTCGACCCGAGTGTAGTCCTGCAGGATGTCCCTATTGTGCCACGTGTCGCCCGGAGGATGTGCCACGCCTATTGCCACCTCAATGATCATGTTTTGCCTGCCCATCGGAACCACCAATTTGCAACTGGTTGGCGCCCGTATGCGATCGACGGGGGTTCCGGTTGCATTGGAATCTTGACTGCTAGGAACATCCGGAGGGCTGCCAACTACTGCCAGTTCTCCGGGAGGCCCCACTAGTGTCTGTGGCTCCATCGTAGACAATCCTTTCTCCACCAACATCTTTTCAACTAGAGCCTTCACTTGGCGCTTAAGATTAGACTCTCGGTCTCTGCCATGTTTCTTGTACATGTGCCTCTCTGAAAGGTCCTAATGGCTAGAGGGGGGGTGAATAGCCTAATAAAAATTTCTACAACAACACTTAACCAAATGGTTAGACAATTATGAGGCGAAGCTAGTGTTGCGCTAGCCTACTAAAAATGCAAGCCACCTACCACAATTCTAGTTTAGATAGTGTCAATTCACACAAGAGCAATGACACTACCCTATGTTAGTGTGCTCTCAAAGGCTAACTAAAGAGCCACACCAAAAAAGCATGCAAGCTCTCACAACTAGCTACACTAAAGAGCTTGTCAACTAGTTTGCGGTAAAGTAAAGAGAGTGATCAAGAGGGTTATACCACCGTGTAGATGAATGAACCAATCAATCACGAAGATGAATAATAATGATGACCAATCACCTCGGAATCAATGATGAACACAATGATTTTTACCGAGGTTCACTTGCTTGCCGACAAGCTAGTCCTCGTTGTGGCGATTCACTCATTTGGAGGTTCACGCTACTGATTGGCATCACTCGCCAAACCCTCAATAGGGTGCCGCACAACCAACACAGATGATGAGGATCATACAAGCCACAAGCAATTTACTAGAGTACCTTTTGGCGCCCACGGAAAAGGTCAAGAACCCCTCACAATCACCACGATCGGAGTCGGAGACAATCACCTCCTCCACTCAACGATCCTTGCTTTGCTCCAAGCCGCCTAGGTGGCGGCAACCACCAAGAGTAACAAATCGAAATCCATGATGAACACAATCACCAAGTGCCTCTAGATGCAATCACTCAAGCAATGCACTTGGATTCACTCCCAATCTCACTATGATGATGAATCAATGATGTAGATGAGTGGGAGGGCTTTGGCTAGGCTCACAAGGTTGCTATGTCAATGAAAATGTGCAAGAGAGCTCCCTTGAGCCGGCCATGGGGCTATAAATAGAGCCCCAATGAAATAGAGCCGTTGTACCCCT